TTAACTAAGGAGGCAAAAGACCTCTACAGGGAGAACTATGAAACACTGAAGAAGGAAATAGCAGAGGATGTAAACAAGTGGAAGAATATACCATGCTCATAGGTCAGCAGAATCAACATTGCTAAAATGTCTATAGTACCCAAAGTGACCTAGAGAGTCAATGCAATCCCTATCAAAAATATCATTTTCCACAGATATAGAAAAAAATAATTTTACGTTTCATATGGAACCAGAGAAGACCCCATATAGCAAAATAAATCCTAGGCAATAAAAACAAAATAGGAGGTATCAATTTACCAGACTTCAAACTATACTACAAGGCTATAGTCATTAAAAAAGCTTTTTACTGGCACAAAAACAGGGACATTGACCAGTGGAACAAAACCGAGAACCCAGACATAAAACCATCCTCATATAGTCAACTAATCTTCGACTAAGCAAACAAAAACATACACTGGGGAAAAGAATCCTTATTCAATATATGGTGCTGAGAAAACTGGATAGCCACATGTAGAAGACTGAAACAAGACCCATACCTTTCACCTTTCACAAAAATCAACTCACCCTGGGTAACAGACTTGAACTTTAGGTGTTAAACTATTAGAATTCTAGAGGAAAACGCTGGAAATACTCTTCTAGATATCGACCTAGGCAAAGAATTTATGAAGAAGACCCCAAAGGCAATCACAGCAGCAACAAAAATAAATAAATGGGACATGATCAAATAAAAAAGCTTTTGCACAGCCAAAGAAACTGCCAAGAGAGCAAACAGACAACAAACAGAATGCGAGAAACTTATCTCAAGCTACACATCTGATAAACGGCTGATAACCAGAATTTATTTAGAACTCAGGAAAATCAGCAAGGAAAAATCAAACAACCCTATCAAAAAATAAGCAAAAGACATGAACAGAAATTTTTCAAAAGAAGACAGAATAATGGCCAACAAACATATGAAAAAATGCTCAACATCTCTATCATCAGAAAATCAAATGAAAACTACAATGAGATATCATTTATTTCCAGTAAAAATAGCCTTTATCAAACCCCGTCCAAAATAGATGGTTGGCATGGATGCAGAGAATAAGAACACTCACACTGCTGGTGAGACTGCAAACTAGTTTCAACCTCTGTGGAAAGCAATATGGAGTACCTCAAAGCAATACAGTAGAATCTACCATTTGATCCAGCAATTCACTACTGCATCTACCAAGAAGATCAAAAGTCCTTTATGAAAGACACTGCACTCAAATGTTTAAGCAGCACAATTCACAATTGCAAGCTGTAAAACACCCTACCAAGTGGCCCCCCCCATCAATACATGAGTGGATTAATAAAATGTGTTATGTATACCATGGAGGTGACTATTCAGCTTTAAGAACAATGGTGATATAGCACTCTTGTATTTCCTGGATAGAGCTGGAACCATTTCCTACCAAGTGAAGTATCTCAAGAATGGAAAAGCAAGCACCACATTGTACGTCACTAGCAAATTGGTATTACGGATCAACACCTAAGTGGACATTAGGAATAACATTTATCGAAGTGTTCGGCAGTGGGGGGGGATGGGTAATATACAAACAAGATGAGTGAGATGTGCAACGTTGGAATGGTCAACGCTTGAAAGCTCTGAACTCGAGGTGGGAGAGGGCATGGCAATATACGTAAGCTTAAACATTTGCCACCTTATAATATGATGAATAAAAATAATAATTTAAAAATAAAAATGACTAGAGACTTTTACGACTGATACCACAGAAAAGAGAGGATCAGTAAGAACTATTCTGATAATTTACTCCATAATTGAATAACTAAATAAATGGATAATTATATAAACTATCAAATACCAAGAATGAATCATGAAAACAGAAATCTGAACAATAATGAATAAAGGAATTTGATCAGTGACAAATCTCCTATAGAAAAGTCCAAGACCAGATGGATTAGTGTTGAATTCGAGCAAATATTTTAAAGTAATTAATACCAATCATTTTCAAACTCTTCCAAGAAATTGAAGAGGAGAAAACACTTCTAAACTCATTTTATGAGTCCAATATTATCCTGATACCAAAGTCAGGCACAAACTTTATAGTACCTTTATAATGTGGAAACAGAAGTTCAGTTCCTATTAGTATCATTTCCCATGTATATATTAAACACAACCTTGGAAATCAAATATTTGCAAACATTGAGGACCCTGTAGTAATAACATGGCTTTGTGAGAAATTCCAAGACTCACACACACACACACACACACACACACACAAATATTGAAAGTGTAGTTCTAAAGAAAATTCTGCAGAAGAAAACTTTTCTTATAATACTGCAATATTTCACATCATTTCACAAAAAAATCATAATATTGATTTCCAAAATGATAGTTTCTATAAACATATTGCTTGTTATGGATTATATTCAGTTTCATATTTACAATACCCAGTTTCAGATTTAGTAGGCCAAAACAAAGAAACCATGTGCTTCTAATACATTTTCTAGTTTTGTGCTTTTATTACACAGAAAATCTGAATGTGGCTTAGAATTGTGATATTTTTTATCATCATTAGTTTTTTAGAATATTTCTATATCTTAGGGCCATTTTTAATCATATCTTAGTTCAGATACCAGTTTCAGCCTCCTCCGCAAATGATTGTTTCCTATGGCTGTGGCCTAGAAAATGGGTCTTAAGACATTTTTATAAAAACAAAATTAAAGCCTACTTATCTTTCCACATTTTTGCTCAGGATACATGTGTTTTCCCTATATTTTAATTTTGGAACCACACCAAATGATGGCCTTAGGTTCATCCTGTTAACAGATCCATTGGGAAAAACAAGCATAACTCTATCCATCAGCCCATGCCCCCTGATGTTTCATGAGTTTTAGGGGAGACAAGACTTGCATATGAAATTTTGGGTATGGGGGGTCCAAATGATAGAATTTTGTATTAAAATATCTTATACAGGTAAATGAAATAGGATTCAGAATAGCGAATGAAGTAGCAAAAGAACTGGAAAAGGAATAGAGAACAAGGCAACCAGTCTGAATTGTGAAAGAAAAGCCATATTGTTAAATCATAAAAAAAAAAAAAATTAGAGGTACAAGGAATGAAGCAGGTTGTATTATAGAGTTCCCTATTAGTGATAGCTCATAAAAATCAATGGTGAAGATGTTGGCCGGAAGAGATAATGCTGCATGGCTAGGTGAAATAGCCTTCTGATACTAAAACTGCTTATAATAATTTTCTGCCATCAGTTTAAATGCACTAAAGATATTTATTTCCTTACCTCCTTTTTATGAATTCCCAGATACAATCATTATCAATGAGACTAAAATTTCAAGATTCTTTAACATTTATTGCTTATTTACTAAATTTTGCTTATTACTAAATTATTGGTATATTTTTTGTCTTTGTATATATTTTTGCCTATTGAGCAACCTTTAAAGTTTTATATTCTTTGTTTAGTTATTCAATTTTTGTCATTTTCCTATTTCACCTGAACAGTCAGTGTTAGATGTGCTTCAACACTTAGTCCACAAAGACTAAGATATAAACAGGGCAGCTTTAATTCAGTGAAATATGCAAATAATGTACATTCCTATATTCATGAAAAGCTAATATATGTCTCACCTCATTCACTCTCTGCTACTTTAATTGGTTGCTTTTGACAACCTATGTTTGTTTTTTATGTTTTACATGCTGATATTATGAGCTGAACAAGTCTTTTGCAGTTTACAGCCTATAGAATTGGTTGTATTTACAGAGAAATAACTTAGTGTCTCCTGTGTGTACCTGTTCATTGATCCAATACCTTGCCTTATGGTCATGCCAGATTCAATAATCATATTATGAAAATACATGCTTGCCTCTTTCAACCAGTAGTATCAACAGATGCTAAGAGTACTAGAAATCACACAGGCTTCTCATGCATACTTTTCTTAGACTCGAGTGACTGACTGCTTTTGACATGTGGAATATATTTATGAGTGTATTTTCCTTCTTTTCCCCACCTGTTTCAAGTCTTTCAAAGAGCTCAAATTCCTGCTCCATAATTTTAGTGCTTCAATATGGTCTCCTTTATGGTCTTTTCTTTTATCTACTGCTCAGAAGAACTTGCAAAAACTTTAGAGAGGTATCAAAAAGTCATAAAAGCTCTGAAACACTCTGGGATGGCACCATCCCAGAATCATAGAGCTGGAAAAAAAGCATTTTTTCAGAGAACTTTGGTGATATTGGCAAATACATTCCAAGTCTTAATTGCATCACATTTTCAGATGTATATATACTTTTAAAAGGTCTGAGGAAAGAGCAACTAAATTACTACCAATTTTGAGCAAATATTATGAGTCCATTATTTTTTCTATTTAAAGTTTAGCTTGCATTTTACAGCATTTAAATCATGGAATTATACACATGTAGTTTGGAATAGGGATAGCTTCTGTCACCATACGCATAATTAATACTGAGATTATGCATCCCATTTTGTTATGGTATCAATAATTGGTTTTTATTGCTAAAAAATCAATTGTTAAATATTACTTTAAATTTGTGTATCATTCACGCTGTTGAAGGGCTTTTTCCAGTTCTAGTTATTACAAATAAAGGTGTATGTATATAATACTCATTTATGTTGCATGGACATATGCTTTCATGAATAAATATCTAGCAGTGGAACAGCTGAGTAATATGGTAGGGGTAGCTTTAACTTTAAAAGAAACTGTCAATGTATTTCCAAAGTGGTTTAAACAATTACCTTTCCATAAGCCAGTGAATAAAATTTCTAAATGTTCCCACAATCTCATCAACGCTTGAAAAGTCGTCTTTTTAAAATTTTAGCCATTCTAATAGGTCTGTAGTGTATATCGTGTGATTAAATTTGCGCTTTCCTAATGACTAACAAAGCTACATTTCATGGACTTCTTAAAGTAACTATTTGTTTGTAATTGCCCATCTTTTTAAATTTAGTTTTTTTGTTTTCATATTACATTTTGAGAGCTCTTATATGCCACATATTTTGTTCATGTCTGTGGCTTGTTTCATTCTTTACAATGTCTTTCAAAAACAGAAGTTTTTAATTTGATAAGTTCAATTTAAACATTTTTCACTTGGGTCATATATTTGCTACATATTAAGAATTTTTTGTCCTGCTCAGGTCACAATTTTAAGTATCCAAATTGGGAAAAGAGGAGGTCCAGCTATTTTCTGCATGCAAAATTGACCTTTTAAATCTATACCTTATTATTTAAATCTGTGATTGCTAATTGGTATTCATTGATTGGACCATGTGGTGTCCAGCTATTTAATAAAACATTATTTCTGGGTGTGGTCTGTGAGGTGTTTCTGGATGAGATTCCATTTGTGTCAGTAAACTGGTAGCAAGTGGATGCCCCAATGTGTGTCGGGGGATCTCAAATCTCTTTGGGCCTGAGTATAGCAAACACTATGTTCTGGGTCTCTAGCTTTCAGATGGCAGATCGTGGGACTTCTCAGCCTCCATGATCCAATTCCTTATAATAAATTTCCTCATATTATTTCTTTTTTTAAACTGGGTGTCTGTGATAATATAGATTTAGTACGCTAGAGTGGTTCTGTAGAACAGAATTTTAAGGATAATTTAACTGAATTTGTTCTGGGTTTTCTTAAATTGGGGTCACTAATCTGATTGATTTATAGAAACATGTATCTCTATTTCTAGTGGTAAAGAGAGCATTGATTTTCCATGGGATCTGACCATGAAGAATCTGCAGCAAAATGCCCATTAGATGATCTGCTAATAACACTTATAAGAAGCAAGGGGCTGGGTGACTATGTATAATGAATATTTATAACTTTTTAAGAAAACTAATGCATATAATGAGGTTGGATGGATTGTTTCAATGGACGCAGTGATGACAAAAAAGATAAACCTTGGGGATTCAATTTCCAATGAAAGGTGCTCCACAAATGCTAAAACTTTCTGTGTGTCCTTCATGGAGATCTTTATCTACTGCATCACAGGGCTGGAGATTGCTGAAAATTAAAGCACAGATCTGCATCCTTCATGCTGAATTACAATGCAAGTTGAACTCCCAGCCTCACAGAGTGTTATATGTAAAGGTGAGGACATCTGATTGAGAAAGAGTATGATCCTCGTGAGTTGGGATGGGGATTTTGTGGGAAGACCCTGTGGAGCTGGGACATTGAGGCCCCTAAATTCTGATAGAGCCATCTTTGCCATGGAAGCAACTCCTTAAGCTCTAAGTAGAAGATCCTGCCCCCCTGTCCAGTGGTATTGGCTCCTGCCAGCCTTGTCTAAAGGGTTTACCCTTGCATTACCGTGAGGAAAGTGTAATGGACTTTTCTTGAGGCTTTTCCCATGCAATACAAAGGCTGACTCTGCTCCTTCTAGACCGTGAAGGCTAGTTTACTTTATATCCTGCTGAATCCTTAAAATGAGTCCAACAGTAAACATAGGAGTAGGTTATTAGACTCCAAAATAGCTACCTGTGGTTTTCTAACTTTATACAAGACAGAAGTCATGGGAACATGTGCCGCAGCATATAAGTAAAATATAGGATAATGGTGGAAAGAACATAAAGTGTGTCAGGACCAAATTTATGAATATGGGCTCATTAAAGAGATTCTGGCATTTCTGCTTCAGCTTGGGAGTGTAGAATGAGCTTAATGTTGGTTGGTTGGTTGAAACATAACCAAATTGTGACCCATAGTGAGGCAAATTGGAAATGTTAGACGGCTGCCTTGTTTTGTGTAGAAGGAAGAAGATTCGCGAACTTATAAATGTTCGGAATGTTTAGAGTGGATTTGTCTTTGAAGACTTACTAATCAAATTGAGAGCTCCAGAAAATACAGCTAATGAGCAAATAATTTGTGTAGGGGGTCGCTGGCATCCCTGGAAGAGCTGCTGTGATTAACTGACTATCTGTAGCCAGAATTACAGTGGAAACAACAGGCCACCTGAATTGGGAATCGTAAATGCAATGGAGTGGTTTGCGTCAGCACAAGGTGCTAGGGGCCAATTACTGGCATCAACTACCAAAGAAAGGCGGACTATTGTTCTATAATGAACAGCAGAGGGAAATGGCAGCATCAGAATAGTTTTACTTGTGCAGAGCTATGCATTGACAAATTGTTCATGATGTTCCTAGAAGTGAAATATATAGGAAGGCCTACTAAATTCCTTACTTGATCTGTTAAAAGTAGAAGAATTCCAGATCAAGTGAGCACAAAGTCCTAATCTGAATCACAAAAACCAGTTCTCCGACTTGCACAGTTTATAGACCCAGACTCCTTGAACAGCCAGGTTCTTGAAAAAGGACGCGCTGCTGTACTACTGAATTTATATTGTTAACCATCAATGACTTACCCAAATGGACCTACCGGCTTTTACGCATGTACCTAGTAACCTATTTCACTGGGAAAGAGAAATAATTGAAGAATTTCAGCGGACTATCTGTACACCTGTCCCTGAACTGACAGCTGATTCCAGGAGGACCAAAATGTCGCTGTTGTCGCATGTGAGTAGGGCTTACAATTCAGTTATCAATAAATTTTTGTTTAAATCTGTCTGAACCAGAGAAGCATATTGGGGCTCCTTGGGTCCACTCGAACCCATCCAGTGATTATTCCCCCAGTTCACAAAATGCAAAACTAGAATAGATTAACTTTCAGCCTATGGAAAGAATCTCTACATTTGTTGCATTTCTATGGAATGAGAGGAAATTAAATATGGTGGGAAAGACAAGGAAGCCACTAAACCTGCTCTACCTAGGGAAGTATTAAATGCAAAAGTAACACAGTTCATGATTTACCATGTTTTAACTATTATTCTTTTTTCACTATGATGGATTTAATCAGGCTATAACCGCCATCATTAGTTGAGGAACATCCTGCACTGTATTCCAGGAAGAATTGCAAAGACTAGTGTGTCACCATCAGGAGTCCAGGGATTGGCAGGGTAAGTGATGTACCACTTCATGCACATTCCACTTGCCTATTTGGCCTTTGGAGAAGAAAAATGATCTTAAATGTTACAGGTAAGTTAATTATGAAACCGTAACCAAGTTGTATCTTCAAATTCAAGACTTCTGTACCAGAAGTGGTTTCATTCTTGAGCAGATTAACACATTCTCTGGAAGCTGGTATGCCAGTTATTAATCTGACAAATATTGTTTCTTGATACCTCTTTCTGCATTCTGTTTACGAAGGCCGCTAGCAGAGCAGTTTTCTTTCACTGGCAAAGCCAGAGATACTAGCTTAACTTCCCTAACCATCAGGGACATATAATCTCTACCGCCCTATGTTCTAATTTAGTTTTGAGGCATCTTGATTCACTGTTTCTCTTCCACAAGACATCATCCGTAGTTCATTCCATTGATAACACTGTGCCTGTGAGCAAGAGGTATCAAATACTCTAGAAGCTTTATTTTTAAGATTTATGATGTCATAGAATGGGAAATAAATCTGACAAATAAATTAGGCTAACACAGTTAAGATTCTAGGGATCCAATAGTGTGGCATATCAAAGATAACTCCTTCTAAGGTGAGGGATAAGCTATTACACTCTGGACCCTCCCTACAGGTCAAAAAGGAGACACAAATGCTTAGTAGTTCTTTTTGAATTTTGGAAGCCAATGTATTTCTTATTTAGGTGTGTCATCCATTTACCGATGACAGGTAAGATCAGCTGTGTTGGCCGCATTTCCCAAGTGGCTGAAAAGCTACCTAGTTTTGCATGATTGTGAGAATAAGAGAAAGATCGCAACAGTCCAGGCTGCTTTTTTTTGGTGGCAAGGCAGAAGCTGCACTTGGGCCCATCGTGGTCTAAACGAGATCTAATGGTGTTTGAAGTGGCTGTGAATAACAGGGATATGTTTCTGGAGACTTTGGGCAGGCTCCTACAGGTGAATCACGTTCAGTTCTTGCATTAGCAGAAAAAGCCTTCCATCCTCCACAGACAACTATCTCTTTTTGAGAAACAATCTTGAACTGCTGTTGGAGGCTTAGTAGAGACTGAATGCTTAACCTTAGGCTTTCAGTTAAAACATCACCTGAGCTATCATCTTAACCTGGGTATTATATAAGCCACCAGGACGTAAAGTTCTGGGCACACACAGCCAACAGTCAGCCAAATGTAAGCAGCATCACATGACTGGGCCCAAGCATTTCCAGAAGGCCAATAAGTTACATGAATAAGT